TTCTCAGTCGTCCAAAGCCAACCTTTTGACCTTTTGGCTTTCCCAGTTTGGTCCAGTTTTAGTCATGGCCCCAAAAGGTTAACCTTTTGTTTCTAGATCCTTTGGGCAAGTGAGGATTTAAATGTGCTCATTTGAAATATCAACATCGCACACTTGTTCATTGCTCGGGCAGAAATTGAAGAATCCTTCGCAAACTGCGTGTTCGAGCAGAATAATGGTTGCAAGCGGAACGAAACAATTATCAATGGAAGGTCCAGCGAGAAGAAGGAACCAATGTCCACGGGAAACACGTCCTCTCCATGACCCTGAACATCCCTACACCCATAAAAACGGAATTGGGGAGGGGGTCATTTTTCACCCTGGAGATCTCCATTTGTTTTAACATAAAACATATCCCCCACCAACAGGGTGCGGGCTTTGGGATTATCAATCAGAAGCGTAAGATTTGGTCCCTTAGATCAGAGTATTCAGACATTTCCTCAACTGGTGCCATTTCAGATCTTTGCCCTATGACAAAAGCAGAGACTGAGTAGCATGCAGAAAAAAAAACACTCGTGTTGGGTGCACGCAGCTTTTTGCGCGAGTCGATTTGACTTTAACTTCAGAGATATCCCCTTTTGGGCCCACTTAAGATGACTTTCTCTAAAGTGGGGTGATGTTTAAGAGGGACATATATGGTTGTTGTTGGGAAACGTTTTAGTTATATTTGTTATTGTGGTTTAGTGGGAAATCTCCACTTGACTGCTAAAATTTATGAATTTTCGCTCCCCTTCCAACGTCAACCAAGCAGTGGTTGTGGTCCTGTGGTTGGGTTGTGGTGGTTTAGGGTTGGTTTAGGGTTGGTTTAGGGTTGGTTCATTTGGGGGTAGCAACATGGAAGATGGTACCATATATATATATATATATTTCTGTATATATATATATATATTTCTGTATATATATATATATATATATGTATATTTTCCTGATATATATATATATATATGGCTCTTAATAGATCCTGGGAGCATGCGGTCGCAGGCAGCTTTCGAGCCTTTCGCGGGGAATTTTCGGGGTAGGTCGGTTCTTCAAATCCGACCCTTCGCGGAAAGTTGGTGGCATTTGAGTCAGTTGAGTTTAGGTCGCCTCTTCAAAACGGAGCTTTTCACCTTTTGTGTTGTTTTTGTTGGGCCATGTTTCGTGATTCCAAAAGGTGAGCCTGGAATTGCCACTTGAGCCACAATCAAAACCTGGGTAGATGAAGGTTAGTATGGGACGATCCCAACCATAAATAGCTGCTGATATCCGCCTTCTTGGTTCTTTACATGGTTTGCGGCCGCCTTCTTAATTCTTGAAGCATGGTTCTGGGTCGACCATTTTTGTACCGGGTTTTGATTATGACTCACTTGCCCTTGCAGGTGAGTAAATAAATGTTGCCCCTTTGGGGCCTGGTGGCTTGAAAGTTTTCCCCGCTCCTTTTTCTTGGGGGTTCAACAGTGGCTTCTTGCGTTCTCGTGCCAACGAGGCAAGGCCTCCGGTTTTGTTTTCCCTTTTTTTCTCGTGGCGTTGAATTGGGAAGGCGGCGAAATAGGGAAGCCATCTCATTTTGGAGGCTTCCCCTATGAGCCGTTCTTGTTGTTTTGTCTACCCTTTTGTACCCACGAGCAACACAATGGTTACATTTGAGCGGTTGTTTTCTTCTTACCTTTATAACTCCTGGGGTCCAAGCAAAAAGGTAAACAACGGGTTGGGTTCATATTTCAGGATCGGCATCATCCGAGTTGGGTCCTTTCTCGTTTTCTACTGGGGGTGTTAAGGAACTGTGCAGACTTGACCTCCACACCCCCGACTCTGGCAAGACCCCATGCAAGATCTGCGCAAGTTCCGGAAAACAAATCCAAGCTGTGTCAACCTGATTTTGATGGGCGCAAGTTGAACCCAAGTAATCCAAGGCTGCGTCCCTTGAATGTTTCGGTTTGTTCTTTCGACTGGGGCGAAATCAACCAAAAACCCGGAAGTTGAACCCTAGGCTAACCCCATGGTGGTACCCTAAGTCCATGGCCTGGCGAGGAATTTCGGACTCGAAACTTTTTGTGGTCTTGGACCGGTCGATTTGACTTTGACTTCAGAAATGAAATATCCCCTTTTGGGCCCATCTAAGATGACTTCCTCTAAAGAGGGGTGATGTTTAAGAGGGACATATAAAGCATGGTTGTTGTTGGGAAACGTTCTGCACATTTTTGATTATTGTGGTTTAGTGGTTGAAATCCAACCACTTAACGGCTAGAATTTGATAAGTTTTGCTCCCCTTCCAACGTCAACCAAGTAAACTTATTTGTGGGCTTGGACCGGCTGAAGTGGTAAACAGAAAGGTTTTTCGTAATTTGTGCTGGCCCATCGATTCAGGAGATGAGTCAATAAACAGAAAGGGGTTTCGTCATTTGTTTTGGGCATGGTTTTTTCAGGAGATGAGTCAATAAATAGAGTTTGGTGTTGTTTTGGGCAAGAAATGTTTCAAAGGAGTCAATTTCCGCAAGATCTTCGTTCCGCTTTTTGTGGTGTTCCATGGACAGATCAGAATAATGGCCAAGAATCGGTGAGGTCGAGATCGCCAAGAATCTGATCCTGGCCGGTCCTGCCAAGGCAACCGGCCTGCCATTGCTTTGTGCGTTTGATGTTGTCCCCGGATTCCTGAACCCCTGTTTAACAGGGCTCCGAAAAAAGATCTCCATGTTGCTTGCAACGATTTGAAACATGGCTGGCTTTTTCAACACCAAAATAAAGGTTGAAACCACCATTTACAAGTTGCAATATTTTGGTGTCAGGATCTCTGTTTATTAATATGGGGGTGCGTTTCCCTGAATTTAGCGAGGATGTATCACTTTTGGAGGGGAGCACCCCCATATTAATAAACAGGGGTTTATTAATCCGGGGTCAACATTGTGAGGGTACCCTTGTCTTGGTTGGACCAAAAATTGGACCGCTGCCGCTTTAGGGTCCATGTGCTTGAGAATATTTGGGATGTTTCCCTGGTTTCCAGGGGAATCTATCTCATTTCTTCCAGGGGGCGAAAAAGGCAAATGAAAGTTAGGTCTCCCGAGTTGGACGTGTGGACGAAAATTCCAGCCAGCTTAGGGTGTCGCATTGGACGTCAATGGCACCCGAATCCCAGTTTTTGTTGGCGGAATCTCCCTGCGCATGCAAAATCAAGAACAAGGAACAACAAACAGACACAATTCCCTCTCCATACGTTTTGGCAACTGGGTGAGCCCCCCTTTGCGCTTGTTTTTCACCCGTTCGGCACATTGTTCAGGAAGCATCGGTGATCAACAAACCTCATTTTCCTCATAGGCTACCCATGTGGGTGACCGTGTCTTTTTTAGAGGACCCCCAACAATTGCGGTTTTCCTCGTGGTGTTCTTTTAAAACCACTAAAAAAAACGGGGTTCCCCAAAGAAAAACAGCCATAGGAGCCGTAGGCCTTTCAGGATCCATGAGTCGAGCGAGTTCTCCGATTTGGAGCCAGACATTTCAGATGCGGCCAGCCCAAAGTCTCTGGGGCTATCTCAGTTGTTCAGTGGGCCCCTTTTTCCCATTTTTTTTTGGTGGCTGCCCCACTAAAATGGTCTTCCCAAAAAAGGGCTCCCTTTTGTTCCAGGGTCACAGAACAACTGAGCTATGGATCCGAGGGTTTTTGTATTACCAGGGGACCCACTGGGTATTGACCCCAGTTACATGTCCGAATAGAGTCGTGTTATGTTGAGACATTCTGGGTCATTTCCCAGGGTCTAATACAAACACCCGCAGATTGGAACATGAGTTGTATGCGCCGAGAACCGCAGAGTGGGCCAGCGTTGTTAAAAAAAAGCTCGCTGGCCATTGGCTTGACCGCGGATCTTTAGACTTTAATTTTTCGGGAAATCAAGGGATTTTCCACTAAACCCCCAAAAAGTTGAGCACTTTCTGCAGGGGGGTCAACAGCAACCAAGTTGGGTTTTGTTGGGCTTTTTGAGTGCCTTTTTGGTGGGGAATTTGGTTCACTAGGTCCCCCAGGCAGGTGCCCTTTTACCCTTTTTTGGGGGAGGGTTGCCGTACTAAAAAGTGTTTCTGGAGGGTTCCCCCACTAAAATAGACTACAGACACAAAGGGCACCCTAATTCTTACCTCTCTACTGCAGGACCTAGTTCATTTCGCCCACGAAAAGTTTTTTCTTTGAGCGGGGCATCTGAAAGCGGACAGCCCCGCAATGCTGGTGGAATTAATTCCATTGGACTGGTGGGTGTGCTTTTTGAGTCGGTATCCTTTCAGTTATGTGAGGAATCCCTTTGATCACTTCTATAATCCCTTTACATATAGTATGTAATTGTCCTTTCTATCAGTCCAGCTATGTGAAGGGGCGCGCGCGCGCATTTTTTTGAGAATTCTTCGGACTTTTTCTGACAAAGAAGGCCAGAGCAAGACTTTCAGGAGACCAGCAGGGCAAAGGCAAGGGCAAGGGCAACAACGGCACGGGCAAAGGAGGCCACGATGGGAAAAAACAAACTCCCAAGGCGCGACATGAAGGAAGCGGCTCGTGAAAACTTCATCGAAAGGGCGCGGATTTGAAGCGAAGGGCGAGGCTGGCAGGGTTCACCGTCAAAGAGCAAGGTCAAGGGTGCGAGAAATGGCCATTGTTTCCAGTAGGTTTGCTGGATTGTCTCCTTGTTTGGAGGAACGCGGTTTGGATCGTCCTACAAATGTTGCTCACTTTCTGAGTTCCTCGACTTGAATTTTGTTGGTGGACTTTTAGTAGCTCACGTTGTTTTCCATTGTTAATTGGTTGGACTCTCCTCTACATGCATAAATCCCTATGCAAAATCTGTGCCATGTACCTGCCAGGGCACTAAACCAGGCCAGAGGTGGGCTTTTCACCTCTGCTTAGACAAGGATAGCTCCCCGCGGCCGTCCACTTCAGGTCTGTGATTTCTTCTTTCTTTGGCAGACCCTTATCGGCTCAAAGAGCCTCGAAAGGTCGCCTCTCAATGGAGGGCAAGACGGAGATTCGAGCTGTGCCGCTGAGCGTTTGCCTGTCTGGCTTTGGGAGACACTTTCGGACGGCCAATGGCAACATGTATCTTCCCAGAATTAGTCTCCTTTTTTTTAGGTTTTCTTTGTTTTCCACTAACCAGGCCAACAAAACAATAATGTTTTTTGCTGGGGTCCCTGTTTCCAGCCAAGGTATTCAGCGAGCAAAGATGACTTCCAGCTTAGCCGGTCGACCGAACGGATTCAGGATTTTATCAGCCATGACTGGCAGACTTCCAGACTGGACAAAGTGCTGTCATTGATGCCCGGCCGAGTATCACCTGTTGTTTTTGTTTTTTTGGTTCCCCCCGCTGAAATCAACCGAAAAGAGGGCCTTGTGGGGTGTTTTCTTTTGCCCCTCTGAAATCAACAAAGAAAAGAGGGGCCCGCCCGTTAAGAGGGGCCAGTTCCAATGGCCCGAGGCTGGTGGCCTTCAATTTTCGCGCTGTCTTCATTGCAACGACCTTTGTGAGTGGTCTTGCAGGTGTCGCTCGCGTCTATGGACTCCTGATCAATCACTGGACCTCCATTTTCCTCGGCTACGCCACCTTTGTACTTTTCTTGAACCCAGTGCCAGCCTTGTTTGCTCTTTTGGACATGTTTCCCTTCAAGATCAACGAACAAACAAACTGGCGCTAGCCCTTTTTGGCGGCCACGGGGCCTCAACGTGAGGTACTCACTTTGTGCTTTTGGCAACAGATTCGCGGCCTCTTCGGAAAGAGTCGCTTGGTCTTCCTGGATTGTCTTTGCATTCCCCAGCACGACGAAGCATTGAAGCGACAAGGCATCCTGGGCCTGGCGGCCTTCCTACAATCCTCCGAGAGGCTTACCATTCTATGGTCGCAGCACTGGATCTCGCGTCTTTGGTGTGTCTTCGAACTAGCTGCTTTTCTTAGGGCAGAGCAGGGTGTGCGCAAGCCCGTTCACTTGGTGCCGGTGAAAACGGCCAAAGTTGTGGTCTTGCAGTGCCTTTGCTGGATGTTGCTGTCAGTCAGCTATGAGTTGATCAAGGAAGTGACACAGGCAGACGTTCACACCTCAGTGGAGAGCGATGAGGATGCCACGCTCGTGCTTTTGCAGCTGGCGCTTCTGCTGATTATTTTTACTGGCATTGTACTCTTTATCCTTCCCGCCATGATTTACATCGGGCTTGGGATTACACATGAGATCAGCGAGCTGAATGCCCAGTTGGCTCGGTTTCGGGTGCAAGACGTCCAGTGCTTTTGCTGTTCAATTAATCATCGCCACCCCTCTACGCAGGCAACAGTTCCATGCGATCGAGAGTTAGTGCACCGAATGCTGCGCCAGTGGTTTTCTTCGTCCACCACGAATCATTGCTTATGTTGCTGCCTTTTTTTTTGTTCCTGTATTTTCCTGTTCAACCAGTGCAAAGCTAACTACTTCCTTCCGGGGGGTCTGAGACTAGGAATTCATACTTGGACACTTTCAACGGGGTTTTTCAAGAAGAGCTGTCGTCTCGCTTGAACCATTTGGTGGGCGACATCAACAACATCTTGCCGGTCGGCTGGGTGCTGAATGCAGCCTTTGCTTGCAATATGCCTTGGCTCACAGACTCTTGAATGCTAGTGGGTTTGGTCTTTAACCTTCAGCTTGTTTGGCGCATATGTTCCATTTGATGAATACTATGTTTATGTTCTCCTGGTTTTAAAGGGAATCTATCACTACTGGACCTATTTTCTCGTTTTTCGTGGGGGGCTTCAGCAGATGCAAAAGATATTTGCTGTTCCACCCAATTTGCTGAGCTTGCTGGGGGTTGGGTATATACGCTTCGCTCTTCTTGGCATGTTTTTGTTTCTTTCTTTTTTTAGTTTTGTGGTTCTGTTCATTTTTACTGGGGGCCTGCAAAATACAGTCAGTTTTTTGCTTCCCAAGAGTAGAGATGTACGAGCCCAGGACTTTATTCCGTGGTGGGTCAACTCCGAGCTGACCGGATCGGCGTGGTGGCTTTGGTTTCTACGTGGTGTCGCTCAGTCCAAAGCGAATCGAGCTTTGGACCTTTTTCTAGGGGTACCTTCCATTTCCATAGAAAAACTGTGCAGAGATCCTGGGGTACCTTCCATTTCCATTTCCATTTCCATTTCTAAGAATCGATCTTTGCAGAGATCCGGATCTTTCTGGAAAAGCTCAATAAACCCAGGGGAAACGGATCCGGTTTTTGAAAAGAACGTTGGTTGAAAAGAATGGGGAGTCAAACCCTAGACTTTTGGCTTTCCCAGGGTGTGGCTCAAGATTTTAAGCAGGCGGGGCAAACCGCAGGTTTGGTACCCATGTTTCCACTTACCAGGGCAAGCCATTTTGGAATTCCGGTTTTTTGAGCCACAGCCAGTTTGGTCCAGTTTTAGTCCTGGCCCCAAAAGGTGATCACCTTTTGTTTCTAGATCCTTTGGGCAAGTGAGGTCATGCTCTGGACACACAACACGCTGGTTCTGACAGCAATGATGCGTATTTGCGTCTATTTGTGGGTGCTCTTTGCCGCTGGAAGGGCACACAAAAGCAGACTGGTGGTTACTTTGGTGCAGGTCCCGCTCATGTTAGTCATTGCAATCATTCTGTGGTTGCCTTTCAGAATCCTCTACGTCATGACGGATGAGGGAAGCTTGATGGCGATTCGGTCACGGATCTTTTGACTTCAACTTGTTTGGTTGAAGTCAAGTGTTTCCCGTATTGGAGCCACAAACAAAACACTTTTTTGAGAGGAGTTTCAACTTGTTTGGTACTCGGGTCATTAGTTTCACTGTTTCAGGGATTATCAAAGTCAGAAACTGTCATTTTCCCTTTCTCACCCCTGTTTTGGGGGAGGGTTCCCGTACTAAAATAGATTAAAACGAAAAAAATGGGAGGACCTAGTTGCGTTTTCTGGAAAGCGAGGAAGTCTCCTGGTCGCAGTGCCATATGCCTTGCTGCTCGCCTTGAACGTCGTGCTCTTTCGGGGCTCGAGAAGTCCAGGTCCAGTCGAGAGAGAGGCCCCATGGCTGATCCGCCGATTTTTTAATGCGCCCGGAAGGGCGGATTTTCTTGGTGGCTCCCAGCCATCCCCTTAGCCTTTTAGCTTTTCAGTGTATAGTGGGAATTTCCATTTAACCCACTAAAAGTTAAACTTTTAGCGGGGGATCTGAGGGCAGCCCAGTATTGTTTTTGGAAAGAAAATCTGTTTAGTTTTTTTCTCCAGTACTTGGTGGTTCAAACAGACAGCCCACTTGGTGGTTCACACAGACAGCCGGAAATGAGAATGTGTTTCTTGGAAAGGAAAACATTATTTTGTCCAGTACTTGGTATAACCAGACAGCCGGTAAGGAGAGTTTGGTTTGTGGAAAGAAAGTCAGTTTTGCTTTGTTTTCCAGTACTTGGTGGTTCAATCAGACAGCCGGTAATGAGAACTTTTTTTTGGAAAGAAGTCATTCTTTTGTCCAGCATTTCGGACATTCGGTAATGAGAACTTGGTTTTGGAAAGAAGATCAGTTGTTTTTCTTTCCCGTTCTTGATGGCTCCACCAGACAGCTGGTAGTGATAATTTTGGTTTTTGGAAAGACAATCAGATTGTGTTTTTTCCAGTATTTGGTGGTTCAACCAGACAGCCGGTAATGATAATTTGCTTTTTGGAGAGAAATATTTTTTCTCCAGTACTTGGTGGTTCAACCAGACAGCCGGTATAAAATGAGAACTTGGTTTTGGAAAGAAGATCAGTTGTGTTTCTTTTCCCCGTACTTGGTGGCTGAACCAGACATTCGGTAATGATATTTTGGTGGGGAAAGAAAATCAGATTTGATTTCTCCAGTACTTGGTGGTTCAACCAGACATTCGGTAATGATAATTTGGTTTTGGAAAGAACATATGTGGTTTGTTTTCCCAGTACTTGGTGGTTCAACCAGAATTTGGTTTTGGAAAGAGACTCAATTGTTTTGTTCAGTACTTGGTGGTTCAACTAGACTTCCGGCAATGATAATTTGGTTTTGGAATGACAATCTGTTGTTTTTTTGTTCCCAGTACTTGGTGGTTCAACCAGACATCCGGTAAAGACAACTTGGTTTTGGAAGGAGAACCATTCTTTTCCCAGTACTTGTTGGTTTAACCAGACATCTGCTAATGAGAATTTGGTTTTGGAAAGAAAAGCCGTTCTTTCTTTCTCCGGTACTTGTTGGTTCAACCAGACGTCCGGTAATGAGAATTTGGTTTTGGAAAGAACCTCAATTGTTTTTTTTTCCAGTACTTGGTGGTTTCAACCATACAGCCGGTAATGATAATTTGGTTTTGGACATGAAATCATATTTTTCCCAGTACTTGGTGGTATAACCAGACATTCGGATTTTGGTTTTGGAAGGAAGATCAGTTTGTTTTTCCCAGTACTTGGTGGTTCAACCAGACATCCGCTCATTGGTTTTGGAAATAAAATCAGATTTGTTTTGTTTTCCAGTACTTGGTGGTTCAACCGGACATCCGGAAATGCGAATTTGGTTTTGGAAAGAAAATCAGTTGCTTTCTTTCTCCAGTACTTGGTGGTTCAACCAGACATCTGGCATTGATAACTTGGTGTTGGAAGCAAAAACAGTTTTTCCCCAATAATGCTGACCCCATATTAATCAACCAACCAGTATATTCATAGGGGGTGGGGGCCCCTGCAAAAGTGGCCTGATTCCGCACTACACGTAAAGCTGGGGTTGATTCATATAGGGTCAACATTACTTGGTGGTTCGACCAGCCATCCGGTTCAACTTAGGCTGTTAATGGTTTTTGGTGGTTTCGTGGTAGTTGGCTCACGACTCATATTCCGCCGCGGATCAAAACGCAGTTTTTCAGCGCACTGCGCACAGGCCAGCCAAGTGCACACACACACACCAGTCAATTGGCAAGCACGACCGCGCCCGCGCGCCCGCCAGCTATTTGCACACAAACACACAAACACACACACACACAACCACCCACCCACCCACCCACCCAC